TCCATATTCATACATGCTGTTGCAGATGGTATTAACAATCCAACAGATTATTTTTCTACACTAGCTAAACATACACTATATGTTAGTTAATAAGGTACTCAATATATCGCTTTCATCATCTGTAAAATGGTGATGATAAGCATCTACCTCCCAGGGTTGTTGTGAGGATCAAATGAGATATTAATTATCAAGTGCTACACATAGTGCCTGGCACATAGAAAGCGCTATATAAATGTTAGTAATTATTATTTTTATTAGTTCATCTTAGGCAAAGTCTTTCCTAGCTGTATTTCTGCTTTTCTTGCTTTATAGGCTACATAGAATACCTATATCAGAACAAATAGATTCCCAGTGTGTTGATAACTGCTCCTGTACCTCTGTCATCAATCAATTGTTGTAGATTTACTAAGAAGACAAAGTGAAAAGAATTCCTGTCCTCAAGGAGCTTAAAGGGGAGACAACATGTATACATTTAAGTAGGTACATACCAATGTAACCCTGGATTCCTAGACTCAAGCTCCTGTATAGTGTTGCTCTGGGAATGGGAAACTAAAGTAGATACTATCCCAAAATTCACAAGTTTGGGGATGTGTCTTTGAGCTTAGCTTTGAAGGCTTCTGAGAAAAGGAATAAAGACAATCTTCTCCATCTTCAGTGATATGAAAGGAAATTCCATAGCCAAGATTAAACTGCATCTGATTTCTAGACACTGTTTCTGTTGGCCCTCCTCTAGAAATCTGGTGAACTTTAGCAAAATGGTGGCACACAGAACTGATGGGATGCTCCTGTCATCCCAGACACACCTTGTTTACTGCTCACTTATCAGAAAAAGAGACAGAAGGATCAGGACAGCCTGCTCCATCAATTGCAGCCAAAGCAACCACTGCTCATTTCTGCTATTTATTTTATCTATCCCTCCTTTGAATTGTAGTGTATGTCCTATGTCTGATTATAAACAAAGAAAATCTGGCAGCTGGCAAATCTTTTCTGAGGTATTTAATTCTGGCTCAAGTAGAGATTTAGAAAGAGATTTTGATAACTTTAGAAAGACAGGGGATAGACACAGGCTGAGACGCAGGTGGGAGAAATGGTCACTGATCCTATATAGAAATCCCATAAGCAAGGGAAGCATACTAACATTATACTCCTAGGCAAGCAACAGCTCCTAAGTAGGAGACCCTATAAGTAAAGAGCCATAATTTTACATGTATACAAGTATACCTAATTGAGATAAACCCATCCATTGAGGCAAATATGAACTTAGACTGCACAGTACAAACTTTCCGTGGGATGTTCATCCTCCATAGAAACTGAGCCTACCCCTCATACCCTTCACATGATGATCATGTCATACATGAAGCACCCTCTTTTATTTCCTTACAAGTGAAGATTCATCAAGAAATTAATTTTTAAAGTGTTTTTTCTTTCTTCTTTTTCTTTCTCTTCTGTTATTGGGATATAATTTATTATTTTATCAAAATGTTCTTTTAATCTGTCTTGTGACTGAGTTTTTAGTGACTGTTTTTGGTCTTTATTGATATTGGTTAGAAGAAATTATTTTTCTTGTACTTTGATGTCTCAGTTGTTTAATTTTAAATGTCTTTATATTTATTATTTTTCTGCTGTGACATTTTAAATATTTTTTGGTTTTGTCTTGTTTTATATTTTGTTTTGCTTTTTTGCCTCTGATGGGATTTTAACCTCCTTACAGTGGAAATTTTTATCTTGGCTCTTCTTTTCTGTACTTTGAGCAGGCTGTTCCAGGTTATTTTGAATGCGTTTTCCATTTCCAATTTTGGATGAATTTTTTTGTATTATTTCTGGTTATATACTGTAATTTTTGCAGCTTTCATTCTAAGAAACTCCTATTTTATTTCCAATTTTTTTTGCAATTTTGTTGGACAATTTTAGAGACAATCCTTTCTTTAATATTTGCTGCTAAACAAACTAGGAGAACAAGGAATAGTTTACCTTTCAGATCTGTGGAAAAGGGAAGAATTCATGACCAAACAAGAGATAGAGAACATTATGAAATGGAAAATGGATAATTTTTGTTACATTAAATTTTTTTAAATTTTAAAGTTTTTGCACAAAGAAAGCCAATGCATCCAAGATTAGGAGGGAAGCAGAAAACTAAGAAAGAATTTTTACAACCAGTATCTCTGATAAAAGCCTCATTTCTAAAATATATAGAGAACTGAGTCAAATTTATAACAATGGAAGTCATTCCCCAGTTGATAAATGGTCAAAGGATATGAACAGGCAGTTTTCAGAGGAAGAAATTAAAGCTATCTATAGTCATATGAAAAAATGTTCTAAATCACTATTGATTAGAGAAATGCAAATCAAAACAACTCTGAGGTACCTATCAATTGGCTAACATGACAAAACAGGACAATGATAAAGGCTGGAGATGTGGGGATATTGGAACACTAAAGCATTGTTGGTGGAGTTGTGAACTGATCTAACCATTCTGGAGAGCAGTTTGGAACTATGGCCAAAGGGCTATAAAATGTGCATACCCTTTGACCCAGCAATAGCACTTCTAAGGCTATATCCCAAAGAGGTCATAGAAATAGGAAAAGGACCCACATGTACAAAAATATTCATAGCAGCTCTTATCGTGGTGGCAAGGAACTGGAAATTGAGGGGATGCCCATCAATTGGGAAATGACTAAACAAGTTGTGGTATATGAATGTAATAGAATACTATTGTGCTATAAGAAATGATAAAGAGGCAGACTTCAGAAAAACCTGGAAAGACTTGTATGAACTGATGCTGAGTGAAGTGAGCAGAACCAGGATAACATTGTACACAATAACAGTCACACTGTGTGACGACTGACTTTGATAGACTTGGCTCTTCCAAACAACGCAAGTGTCTAAGTCCACTCCAAAAGGCTCATGAAGGAAAATGCTACCCATATCCAGAGAAAGAACTATAAAGTCTGAATGCAGATGGAAGCATGCTATTTTCTCTTATTTTCCTTTGTTATTTTGTTTTATTGCTTCATTCTCATGGCTCCTCACGTTAATTCTGATTGTTCTTTACAACAGGACTAATGGGAAAATACGCTTAATATGAATGTATAAGTAAAACCTATATCAGATTGCACACCATCTTGGGTGGGGGTGGGGGGTGGAGGAAAAGGAGGGGGAGAAAATTTAAAACTCAAAATCTTATGGAAGTGAATGTTGAAAACTAAAAATAAACAAATTAATTATTTTTAAAAAATATTTGCTGCTAAAAATACTGTCATACAAAATGTTATTGATACTGTTAATTGATATACTTATTTTGATAAGATATTAGCTTTATGCAGCTATGAGCATGATCAAGTGTTTTTAACTTATTACGTGACATTTGCATATTTATTTCATATATTGGAATATGAAAAAAGTATTGATACAGCTTTTTGTGATCTTGAGTTTGTTTCTGTTATATTGATATAAATTTGCATATTTGCTTGTTGTTTTATATACCAGGTATTAATTGAATACAGTTGCTAGCATATATGTACAATAATTTCTTATTGTGCTACTCCATGTTTACTGCTTAAGTTAGTATTACTGATTTTATTGAATACCTTAAAATGAAGCAATCTCTTAAAAAGATGGATGCTGAATTGGTTGAAATATTTTTGCATGTGGGCCCTTCAGCTAGGTCAACCTGAAGGTATGGCCTGGGGGTTGTTTGCAAGCTATGAAAGACTGGATTACTTGGTCAGTTTTGTTTGCTGCTCCCCCCAAACTGTTTATTGTCCTTTTTGATCAATGTCAGGATAGCAGGCATCTGTTATAGAGGTATTCAGTGTTACTTGATAACTGAGTTATATAAGTACTTAATGGATACTCTCCTTGAAAGTTGGTGCTTGGGACAATAAATCCTTGACAAGTCAATAAAACAACTTCATAAAAAAAAAAAAACAAAGCAAGGGAGCCACGCAGTGGGGACAGACTTAAAGGCAGAATCCCACAAAGGACTGGTTGAAAGATGAAATAATAAAATAATTTTTCTTCAGAAGGTAGAGAAATGGGGCAGCTAGGTGGCACAGTAGATAGAGCACTGGCCCTGGAGTCAGGAGGATCTGAATTCAAATCCAGTCTCAGACAAGACACTTGACACTAGCTGTGTGACCTTGGGCAAGTCACTTAACCCCAATTGCCTTGCAAAAAACCCAGAAGGTAGAGAACCGAAGGAATGAAGGCCACAATGACCTGATAAAAGAATACCTCTATCAGGATATAACCAAAGAAGCAGAACCATTGAGCTAGATCTGAAAAAGGAAAAACTCTGGACTTTCCCATGTGACCAAATCTCTGGCATTTGCCAGAGGTTATAATCCCATCAACTGGACTTTCATTGTGGCTATACCCAATCTTCCAATTCTCAGTTGCCCCTAACCTAGCCTAGCCCTTCATTGTTTTACTTCCCTATGGCCCCTGGCCATTTCTCACCCTTAATCCTAGCTAGGCTCTGTTCTCCCTTGGCCAAGTGGTCCAGGTCCCAGGAGTTCTGTTCACCCCAGCTTCCTGACCACTCCCATCCAAATCCTTCTTAGACCCCTCCTCCAGTCACCCCAAACTACTTGGCCACTCCTAGATCCCTCCTACAGTCTTTCTGTAGATATAAGGTCCATCTTCTCTCCATTAAGATGCTCAGATTCTTATAATCTAGCCAATAGCTTACTAATGTTCAGACTCCTTAAAAGTCTTCCCAATATGACAGATGTTCTAATAAACCTTGTCTTTAGCTAAAAGAAGGCTTGGGTTGAATTCTTTTGGGCAGGACCTATGTGTGTGATTTTGCAGTTTCAGCACCCCTAAACCCCTATTATATGGCCATATGTATGTTGGATATATTGGTGAAAGGTATGCAGCTTTGGTCCTGCAGGAAAATAAAATCTCGTGAACCAACATTAAGAAAAGAAGGTGGGGCAAGGAAGGTTTCCCCAGACCCTGGCAACAGTACCAATGACCTCATTATTGATTTCTGATAGGTCTGTTACACCTGGATCCATATGACCCTGCATAAAGGTGATGGGGAAGATTAACCATCTGTCTTGTACTTCTTCTTGACAATGCATCATCTCAAATTACCATCATATTCCAGTTTTTTATCAGAGAAAACTGAAGAAAATACCTTTACAGCCTTTAAAAGAGCTAGAACATGGCGGAATGAGTGATAAAGGCTACCCATATCTGGGATGCATTAAGATAAGCTTTAAGTTCCACAAGGAAGTTGTTGGTTTCAACAGGAAGGTAAACACTATGTCTCTGAGATGTCCAGATCCACCAACTCTAACTGAAGAACATAGATTGGAACCAATTTTGGCCTGTTCAAAATTAGCAGGGTCCTACGAGCAACAAGTTGAGACCAAATACCTGTCCATTTTTAATATCCATGAAGCCTATGCAGAGACGTATAGTAAAGTAGAGACAAGCAGTAACAAACAGGTTATATCATGAAAGTGCTGGCTATTCAAACTCGGGAGTGAATCCCGAGGTATTTGACTTGGGTAACTTCTCAATACTGGAAGGATGGAAGGATCAGTTGCAATACATCTTCAGCAAAAAGACAGGTATGTTTTTCTGCATGAGTGAAATGTGGAATGAACCTGAGAAGTAGCCCACAGGATCAAATCTCAATGACTCCTGAATGAGCCAGGAACTACATAGATCTTAGAAACTATCTGAAAGAACTGCTGGTCAGTGGCAGCATCCCCAGAATTGAGCAGCCTATAACTTCTAGTTAGGGGCACAAAGAAATATGGAAAGATACAAATCTGTGTAGAGTACCAGCCTTTAAACAAAAGAGCAGGTACACTATACCCCAAGTTCAAGAAGCTCTGGATTGTATGCTCTACAGCCATTGGTTCTCAGTTTTGGAATTACATTGTAGATATTATCAGGTTCCTATGGCTAATGAAGAGAAAGAGAAGACTAATTGTATTTTACCAATTTGGATTTATACCTTACAACCTCATTGTATTTGGAAAGACTAGAAAAACATGAGGAGGGACTAATGAAAGTGGCTAGAGAAAGCTGATATAAAGCTGTCAGTCCACAAGTGCTAATTTTTCATAACCCATTTTCACCTGGATTCTAGAAGTATCAGAGAAAGAAATGTGTGCTCTATTAAATATATAGATCTCATAGTACCCCAGCAAGGTGTGTATGCAAGCCAAGAGAGTTTTAAGTGCTTCTGAAATGTCCATTTCCACAGAATATTTAAGATTTAAGGACTTTAATGAGATTTGCCAATTGTCACTAATATGTTGAGAACAATGCTGCTATTGTTAAACCATTCAGTGACCCCATTTGTGCATGATTGGAGAGAACTAGAAGTAGAAGGACAAGAAATGACAAATTAAGTTGAAACCTACAAAGCTACTTGGAGATCAGGTAACAGACAAATGTGATCAAGTTTTCAAAAACTTGATCACTTGCATTACACAGACACTGATGTTGGCCTGTGCAGATCCAAGCAAGCCTTATGTCACACGAGAGAAACAGACAAAAAGAAATCACAGAAGGAGCCCTACAGTGGTGAAGTGAGAGTTGCCTTGGCCTCTTTTGCTTCCTATTTATGTCTCTTTTACTAATATGCTCTATGTGTATGCCTACTTTTTGGTATTTGTGGGCAAGTGCGTTTCCAGTATGTTGAATGTTCTGTTACTATTGTCTAGCTAAGTCATTTTAGTAAAAAGCCTTTGCTTAGAGCTAATTTAATTATGTCAACTATTAAAGGAGAATGCACCATTGGGAACGTGTGAGCTATAGTTTTAGGAATTTAGACCCACAGAAGACGTTGAACTCGAGATTACTCCATTGGGGGAACCTCACCTGCTAGTGAGAGTGGGGGTGGAATAGCCCAGAAAGGGGGTGCTACATTTTTCTTCTTTTAGTTAATCCAGTTATTTGTGATCCCCTTCTGTGTGTGCAGCACAGTGATATTGCCTAATAGATTTTTGAAACTGCCATACATATGGACCTATGACCTGTCAATCAACAAGTATTTATTAAGTGTTTATGTAGAACATGCTCTGGAACTACTCTCCCAACTCCCACTTACACTGCTAAGTCATGTACCTAGAGATAGGTACTATGTTCCCTCAGGGCACTTAAGAGGTTTAGGAAGAGTTATAATGCTATATAGGTCACAAGTCCCCACCCACTAGTTTTCTCCCTGCCTTAATTATGGATTGATCATCAATTAGTAAGCCAGAATAAAAAGTGATTATTTCACTATAATTAACACAAAACATCTCGTCACAATCTGGGACACACATTTCTTTCTCTGATACTTTTAGAATCCAGGTGAAAGTGGGCTCAATCTCAGAGACCGCATGTGGCCCAGGGGAAGTCCCTTTGCTAGACTCCTCCAGATGTTCCTCTTAGGTACACCAAGCTTTTGTGTTGGGCTCTTTGTAGAGCCTTGAGTCTGTGTCTGTAGGACCTTGGTTTATTCTTGATTCCAGTTGCAGTTGCCACCATCAGCTGATCTAGGGACACTGCTAGGTTGCTAACAGGAAGATAGGAAGTTCAAAATCTTTTGGACAGTACAAAACACACAGGCTCTTCCTCCAGCTGAGGGGAAAATGGGGGGGACTAAGACCTATAGCTGGATAACTGGGTTTTTACTCCTCTTCCCTCAATTGATTCCTTCTAAAGGGGGTTAACTGAAATGTTCTCTCCTCTCCACTTGCTCAAATCTCTTTGGTTCTGAACTGGCTCTTCCATTTTATACAGATCCCCTCCACACCCCCCAGGATGTTAACAGGTTTCTTGAGTCAATCCAAACATACTTCCTGTAAAACTAAGTACTTTTTTGACCTTGATCTAAAGTTTATGAGATTGATTTATTAAGATGTCTTCTCACCTGGTTAAGGTACTAGGCGTATCATTTTACCACTTTATTTTTTAAAGTAGGTTTTTGTTGATGTCTTTTGTTTTTTACAAATCTAGTTGTCCTAGTATACTTCCCCCTCCCTATGCCAGACAGCCATGCCATGTAGCAAATAGTATTTTTTAAAGACAAAAAGAAAAATAAAAAGAGGAAAAATGTCAGCCCAACTGATCAATACTTTGAAAAAGTCCAAAAATATGTGAAATACATAACACTTATGGATCTCCTGCCTCCACAAAGGGGTGGGTTGTAGATGTCCTCTCATATCTCTTCATTAGAGTCATGCTTGATCTTTATAATTTTGTTACATTCACTCTTGGTTTTTTTTGAATGTGTGTTCTTTCCATTTATGTTATAGTTATTGTATATATTGTTTTCTTGGCTGTTTACTTCACTCTTCATCAGTTCATGTAACTCTTTCTATGCTTCTCGGTATTCATTGTATACATAATTCCTTATAGCATAGTAATATTCCATTAATTCATGTATCATAATTTGTTTAATTATTCCCCAAATGATGGGCATCTACTTTATTTCCAGTTCTTTGCTGTTACCAAAAAATGCTATTAAAAATATTTTGGTGTATATGGGGACTGTCTTCATACTGATTGCTTCCTTAGGCTATAAGCCTAGTAATGAAGTCCTTCATTCAAAGAATATGGACAATTTAATCACTCTTTTTACACAATTCCAAAATACTTTCCAAAATGGTTGTGCCATTTTACAACTCCACCAACAATGTATTAGTGTGCCTATTATATTATAACCCCTCCAATGTTGACTATTGTCATTTTCTGTCATCTCTGTCCATTTTCAGGGTGTGAGGTGAAACCTTAGGATTGTTTCAATGTGCATTTAACATTACTTTGGAGCATTCTTTCATATGGTTGTGAAAACATTGCAATTCTCCTTTTAAGAACTCATTCATATCCTTTGACTATTAATCTATTGGCAAATGGCTAATAGTTAAATGTGTGTGTGTGTGTGTGTGTGTTAGATAGTTTATTTATGTTGGATTTCAAACACTTTTCAGAGAAATTTGATACAAAGATTTTTTCCTATTTGACTGCTCTCTTCCTAGGTGCATTAATTTTATTTGCACAGAAGCTTTTCAGTTTCATGTAATCAGAGTTAATAATTTTATCATTTGTAATTGCCTCTATTCTTTGGTTTGTTAAGACAGGTGGGCAGCTAGGTGGCACAGTAGATGGAGCACTGGCCCTGGAGGCAGGAGGACCTGAATTCAAATCTGGTCTTAGACCAGACATGTGACACTTAGGAGCTGTGTGACCCTGGGCAAATCACTTAACCCCAATTGCCTTGCCCAAAAAAAAAAAAAAGGAATATATCTCCTACACATAGCTGTGAGAAGTATATGATCTGCTTTTCTTCTAATTTTTTTTTATAGTATAATCTTTAATATTAAGGTATTTAGAATGTATTGTGGAAAATAGCATAAGGTGTTCTAAGCCTAATTTCTGCTAAACTGCTTTCTAGTTGTCCAGGGTTTCTTATTACTATGGCAGCTAAGTGGCGCAGTGGGATAGAACTCAAGGCCTGCAGTCAGGAGGACCTGACCAAAGCATGTTTGCCTCAGTGTCTCACCTATAAAAGAAGCTGGAGAAGGAAATGGCAAACCACTTCAGTATCCTTGCCAAGAAAACCCCAATTGAGGTCTAGAGGTCAGGGGTCCTGAAATCCCAAAATCATATGGGTCCTGCCAGAAAAAATTTGACCCAAGCCTTCTTTCAGCCAAAAACACAGTTTATTAAAGATTCGCCATATTAGTGAATGGGATGTCCCACTGAAGACTTCTCAGTGTAATTAAGGTAATAAGTTCAGAAGGTAGTGTGAGAAATGAACTCTCAGAAGTGAAGGTTCCTCAAAGGGTCAAATAATTCTTAATTATTACTTTCAAAATCCTCCCCCACTTAGACCCTGTTTTTAAGCACTTAACAGAAAGAATAAGTCCTGCCCCACCCCCAACCTGAGCTTCCGCCTCTTTCCTTGTCTTTGAATTTAGGGCCTGGAATGTATGCCTTACCTCCCAGTTAAGAGGATAGGAAGAAACTTTCAAGCTTAAAATGTAAGCCCACCCCCAGTTAAGGGGGTAATGGATAGTGGTGGGTGGAAACTTGTTTGTGCGTGGTGGGCGGAGATTTGCTTTCATAAGGTGGCCCCTGTTACTCGTGTGTCTCTGTGTCTGTCTGTCTGTCTGTCTGTCTCTCTCTCTCTCTCCCTCCCCCCATGTGTATCCAAGGAGCAGACAGCCATCTCGCGAGATTGTAATAAAGGTAACCTTTACTTTCCACCTTGAGAAGTCTCTGAGTTTAATTTGGGTTGGGGTCACTGTCCCACACATTAGTTAGACTCTTAAGGAATCTGAGCATCTGTGGGCTATTGGCTAGATTGTGAAAACCTGCACAGTGGCTAGATTATGAGGACCAGAGCATCTTAATAGAGACAAGATGGACCTTATATACAGAAAAACTGTGGGAGGGATCTAGGAGTGTCCAAGTAGTTTGAGGTGACTGGAGGAGGGGTCTAAGAAGATCTGGATGGCAGTGGCCAGTAAACTGGGTTGAACAGAACTGAGACCTGGACAATGGAGCCTAGCTAGTATTAAGTGTGGGAAATGGCCAGGGGCCACGGGGAGGTAAAGTAATGGAGGGGAGGTTGGGTGTAACCACAATGAAAGGCCAGTTGGTGGGATTATAGCCTCAGGTGAAGGCCAGAGATTTAGCCATGTGGAAAAGTCCAGGGTTTTCCCTTTCTGGGGTCTAGATCCCATCCTCATCAAAACGACTTACAACAACATTTCTTATTAAATAAGGAGCTTTTTTCCCCTAGGTGATTTATGTTTTTTAGTTTATTAAGCCCTGGGTTATTGAATTCCATTGTCTTCATTCTCCCTTGGGTAGTCTGTTCCATTGATCTGTCTCTATTTTTTAAACAATACTAGATAGCTTGGATGACTGCTCCTTTATAACATAGTTTGAGGTCTGGAAGTGCTATTCCTTCTTCATTCCTGCTTCTTTTCTGCCTTTCCCCAATATTCTAGGTTTTTTTATTTTTCCAAGTGAAATTTGTTATTATTTTATCAAGTTCTACAAAGTATCTCCTTGGTAATTTGTTTGATATACCATTAAAGTGTAAATTAACTTTGATAATATCATTTTTTTATTACTTTGGCAAAGCCCAGCTGTGAATACTTCTCCAACTATTTAGCTTATCTCTTTAAGGAGCCCTTTGTAATTGAATTATGCAAGTCTTTTGTGTGCTTTGGCTCATTTACTTTAAATGAGGTGGAGTGACTCCATTGATTTATTCAACCAATTCCCACACACATTTCTGGACCCCATCTGAAGATTCAAAGAAAGGCAAAAACATGGTTCCTGCTTTTAAGGAGCTCACATTCTAGTGGAGATAAGCTACATACACAATATATATGAAGCCAGGGAAACTTGGAAGGAGAGATGAGGATACACATCCCAGACATGGGGGTTAGCCAATGCTATTGCATGTAGAGAGATAGGATGGGATCTGAACTCCTAAAAGGAAAAGACCATGAGTTTGGGATCTGGACTCCAAAAAGGAAAATCCTTAGACTTTTCCAAATTCCTGGTGTTTGCCTGAGGCTGTAATCCACTCAACTGGCCTTTCATTGTGGCTATGCCCAATCTCCCAATTCTGTTGCCTCCTCATTGCCCTTGGCCACTTCCCACCTTTAATCCTATCTACACCCCATCTCAACCTCCCAGTCCCTTCCATCCATATCCTTCCTAGATCCCTCTCACAGTCTTTCCGTATATAAGGTACATCTTGTCTCCATTAAGGTGCTCAAATTCCTTAAGAACCTAGTCAATAACTCACAAATGTTCAGATTCCTTAAGAGTCTGGCCAGTATGACAGATCTTTAATAAATCTTGTCTTTGGCTAAAAAAAGGCTTAGGACCTGAGTTCAAATGTGGCCTCAGACACTTACTAGCTGTGTAACTCTGGGTAAGTCACTTAAGCCCAATTGCCTAAAATAAATAAATAAATTTGTCCCCTTAGTGAACAATAGATTAGAGGAGGGAGAGACATTCCATAGGGAGACTAATTAGAAAGTTTATCCAGTTTTCCAGGGAAGAAGTAATAAAGGCTTGTTTGTCACAAGGATGACAACTGTGTGAATAGAGGAAAAGGGAGATGTTATGAACTTAAATCTTTTTTAAAATTATTTTTGTTCACTTTTATTGATTTTCTTTTTTTTGGGGGGGTGGAATTCTCTCTTTTTCTTAATATCACACGTCACTATAACAGTCATGACTCCCCAAAACCCACCAATATAGATCCTTCCCTTATAACAAATTAATATCATCAAGTGAAATAGATCAACATATTAGCCATGTCTGAAAATGTACAACTCATTCTACTCCTATTTTTCCAATACCTCTTTGCCAGTAGGCAGAAGGCATGCTTCATCTTACGGACTCTGAAGTAAATGATTCATCACTGCATTGGTTAGAGTTCTGAAGTCTTCCAGCTCTGTTTTCTTTCCCATCATTGTGTAAATTGTTCTCCTTATTTTATGTTTATTAGTTCACCAAGTCTTCCCATATTTCTGAATTCTTCATAATTTCTAATGGTACAACAATAATTACATTAAAGAAAGGAATAAGAATGAAACAGTAGACTATAATTTATGAAATATGGCAAAAACAATATTTTAGATAAAATCTTTCTCTCTGAACACTTAATACCCAATGATTTGTGTAGGGAACTAAACAGACTAGAAAATCAAGAAATTAATAATCACTGAATAAATACAAGAGTAAAAATTTGAAACTCAAAGTGAGCAGCAAAATACAAAACAAAAAGTTCTTCAAACTGGTAAACAAAGAGCTATTTTTAAAAATAATATAATTTATATGCCATTAGTCAATTTGATCCACAAAAGAATCAAGAAAACCATATCACCAAAATATAAAAATTCATGATTGAAGAGGAAATAGTAAATTTTTGTTCTTTAACTTATTTATTATTTAGACACTGATAGTTATCAGTTTGTGTCCTTTGTTCATATTACCCTTATTAATCACAATTTTTGTTGCACTGTGGACTTAACAGAATATTTTATACTTCTGCCCATCACAATTTATTTATGAGTTCTTTAGTGACCAAGGACATGATCACTTTTTGTATATCTAGGTGCCATAAAAACCTGAAAAATAAATATACTCCTTAAGATTCCCATTCAGCAATGACCAAAGATCTATTTTACCTGGTTTTTCTAACATCCTATTCAGATCCTTAATGTCTTTTTTTT